AGATGATGGAATATGTGGCAACAAAGTGCAAGGAGGCAGAGGAAAGTTTTGTTCCCAGGGAAACAGAAATAATAGGAAGACCAAAACGAGTCCTTGGTTTACACCGAAGGTGTAGGGAGGCAAAAACTAAGTGCAACAGAGAATGGAAAAGGTACAGGAGCATAGGACCCAGGAAAACAAGGAGATTAGTAGAAGAGCCAGAAACGAGTATGCACAGATAATGAGGGAGGCTCAGCGACAGTATGAAAACGACATAGCATCGAAAGTCAAATCTGACCCGAAACTGCTGTATAGCCACATTAGAGGAAGAGAACAGTCAAGGACCAGGTGATAAGGCTGAGGAAAGAAGGTGGAGAACTCACAAGAAACGATCAAGAGGTATGTGAGGAGCTCAACACGAGATTTAAGGAAGTATTACAGTAGAGACAGGAAGGACTCTGGGGGGACAGACCAGATGGGGACACCAGCAAGGAATACACCAACAAGTGTTGGACGACATACATACAGATGAGGAGGAGGTGAAGAAACTGCTAAGGGACATCGATACTCAAAGGCAATGGACCGGACAACATCTCCCCCTGGGTCCTTAGAGAGGGAGCAGATATGTTGTGCGTGCCACTTACCACAATCTTCAACACGTCCCTGGAAACTGGGCAACTACCTGAGGTATGGAAGACGGCAAATGTAGTTCCCATTTTTAAAAAAGGAGACAGAAAAGAGGCACTAAACTATAGACCTGTGTCATTGACGTGTATAGTATGCAAAATTATGGAGAAGATTATCAGGAGGAGAGTGGTGGAGGACCTGGAAAGGAACAAGAGTATAAATGCCAACCAGCACGGATTCATGGAAGGCAAATCCTGTGTCACAAACCTTCTGGAGTTTTATGATAAAATAACAGAAGTAAGACACGAGAGAGAGGGGTGGGTTGATTGCATCTTCTTGGACTGCAAGAAGGCCTTTGACACAGTTCCTCACAAGAGATTAGTGCAGAAGCTAGAGAATCAGGCGCATATAACGGGAAGGGCACTGCAATGGATCAGAGAATACCTGACAGGGAGACAACAACGAGTCATGGTACGTAATGATGTATCACAGTGGGCACCTGTGACGAGCGGGGTCCCACAGGGGTCGGTCCTAGGACCAGTGCTATTTTTGGTATATGTGAACGACAGGATGGAAGGGTTAGACTCAGAAGTGTCCCTGTTTGCAGATGATGTGAAGTTAATGAGGAGAATTAAATCTGATGAGGACCAGGCAGGACTTCAAAGAGACCTGGACAGACTGGACACCTGGTCTAGCAAATGGCTTCTTCGAATTTAATCCTGCCAAATGCAAAGTCATGAAGATGGGGGAAGGCACAGAAGACCACAGACAGAGTATAGGCTAGGTGGCCAAAGACTGCAAACCTCACTGAAGGAGAAAGATCTTGGTGTGAGTATAACATCGAGCATGTCTCCGGAAGCACACATCAACCAGATAACTGCTGCAGCATATGGGCGCCTGGCAAACCTGAGAACAGAAATTCCGATACCTTAGTAAGGAATCGTTCAAGACACTGTACACCGTGTATGTCAGGCCCATACTGGAGTATGCAGCACCTGTTTGGAACCCTCACTTGATAAAGCACGTTAAGAAACTAGAGAAAGTACAAAGGTTTGCGACAAGGTTAGTTCCAGAGCTAAGGGGAATGTCCTATGAAGAAAGATTAAGGGAAATCGGCCTGACGACACTGGAGGACAGGAGGGTCAGGGGAGACATGATAACGACATATAAAATACTGCATGGAATAGACAAGGTGGACAAAGACAGGATGTTCCAGGGAGGGGACACAGAAACAAGAGGCCACAATTGGAAGTTGAAGACACAAATGAGTCAGAGAGATATTAGGAAGTATTTCTTCAGTCATAGAGTTGTTAGGCAGTGGAATAGCCTAGAAAATGACGTAGTGGAGGCTGGAGCGGGGAGAGAGAGGGCCCAGTAGCAACCGGTGAAGAGGCGGGGCCAGGAGCTAAGACTCGACCCCTGCAACCACAAATAGGTGAGTACAAATAGGTGAGTACACACACACACAAGATCAAGAAATGAATACGCACAGTTGAGGAGGGAGGTCGGGCGACAATACGAAAATGACATAACAGCGAAAGCCATGACAGACTCCGAAGCTGTTGTACAGCCACATTAGGAAGAAAAGAACAGTCAAGAACCAGGTAATCAGGCTGAGGAAGGAAGGAGGACAGATCACAAGAAACGACCTTGTTGTTTGTGAGGAACTTAACATGAGATTTAAAGAGGTATTCACAGCGGAGACTGAAGGGACTCTCTCCTTGACATGGGGCAGGCCTTTGGAACAGCTCTTCACAAGAGATTAGTGTAAAAGCTGGAGGATCAGGCACACGTAACAGGGAGAGCACTGCAATGGATCAAAAAATATCTGACAGGGAGGCAACAAAGAATCAATGTACGTGACGAGGTGTCAGAGTGGGCGCCTGTGACAAGCGGGTTCCACAGGGGTCAGTCCTAGGAACACTGCTATTTTTGGTATGTGTGAATGACTCAGAAGTGTCCCTGTTTGCATATGATGTGAAGTTAATGAGGAGAATTAAATCGGATGAGGATCAGGCAGGACTACAAAGCGACCTAGACAGGCTATAAGCCTGGTCCAGCAACTCTCTCGTCAAATTTAACCTCTTCCTATGCAAAGTCATGAAGATCGGGGATGGGCAAAGAAGACCGCAGACAGAATATATGCTAGATGGCCAGAGAGTGCAAACCTCACTCAAGGAAAAGGATCTTTTGGTGAGTATAATACCGAGCACATCTCCTAAGGCGCATATCAACCAGATAACTGCTGCAGCATATGGGTGCCTAACAAACCTGTGAATAGCGTTCCGATACCTCAGTAAAGAATCGTTCAAGACTCTGTATACTGTGTACGTCAGGCCCATACTGGAGTATGCAGCACCAGTTTGGAACCCACACCTTGTCAAGCACGCCAAGAAATTAGAGACAGTGCAAAGGTTGGCAAGAAGGCTAGTTCCAGAGTTATGGGGAATATCCTACGAAGAAAGGTTAGGGGAAATCAGCCTCACGACATTGGAGGACAGGAGGGTTAAGGAAGACGTGATGACGACATACAAAATACTGTGAGGAATTGACAAAGTGGACAGATACAGGATGTTCCAAAGATGGAACACAGAGACAAGGGCTCACCACTGGAAGTTGAAGACTCAGATGAGTCAAAGAGATGGTAGGAAGTATTTCTTTAGTCATTGAGTTGTCAGAGAGTGGAATAGTCTATCAAGTGACGTAGTGCACGCAGTAACCATACATAGTTTTATGACGAGATGCGATAAAGCTCATGGAGCAAGGAGAGAGAGGACCTAGTAGCAATCAGTGAAGAGGCGGGGCCGGGAGCTATATCTCGACCTCTGCAACCTCAAATAGGTGAGTACATATAGGGGAATAAGTCTGTTGAGCATACCTGGTAAAGTGTAATGGTAGAGTTATTATTGATAGAATTAAGAGTAAGATAGAGAGTAGGATAGCAGATGAACACGGAGGCTTTAAGAAAGGTAGGGGGTGTGTAGACCAACTTTGTACAGTGAAACAAATAGGTGAACAGTATTTAGATAAGGACAAAGAGGTTTTTGTGGTATTTGTGGATTTGGAAAAGGCGTATGACAGGGTGGATAAGGAGGCAATGTGGCAATGTTGCAAATGTAGGAAGCAGTGAAGAGTTTTTATGAGGATAGTGAGGTTCAGGTTAGAGTATGTAGGAGAGTGGGAGATTATTTCCCATTAAAAGTAGGTCTTAGACAAAGGTGTGTGATGTCGCCGTGGTTGTTCAATATATTTATAGATGGGGTTGTAATAAAAGTAAATGCTCTGGTGTTGGTAAGAAGTGTGGGGTTAAAAGATTAAAAATCTAACACAAAGTGAGAGTTGTCAAAGTTGTTTTTTGCTGATGACACTGTGCTTTTGGGAGATTTTGAAGAGTTGTAGAGGTTGGTAGATAAGTTTGGTAGTGAGTGTAAAAGGAGAAAATTAAAAGTGAATATAGGAAAGAGTAGGGTGATGAGAATAACAAAAAAATTAGGTGACGAAAGACGGGATATCAGATTGGAGGGAGAGAGTATGGAGGAGGTGAATGTATTCAGATATTTAGGAGAGGATGTGTTAGCAGATGGGTTTATGAAGGATGAGGTGGATCATAGAACTGATGAGGGGAAAAAGGTGAGTGGTGAACTTAAGAATCTGTGGAGACAAAGAACTTTATCCACGGAAGCAAAGAGGGGAATGTATGTGAGTATAGTTATACCAACGCTCTTATATGGATGTGAAGCATGGGTGGTGAATATTGCAACAAGGAGAAGGCTGGATGCTGTGGAGATGTCTGAGGGTAACGTGTGATGTGAATGTAATGCAGAGAATTCGTAGATTGGAAATTAGGAGGTGCAGGATTACCAAAACTATTATCCAGTGGGCTGAGGAGGAGTTGTTAAGGTGGTTTGGACATGTAGAGAGGTGGAACGAAATAGAATGACTTCGAGAGTGCATAAATCTGTAGTGGAAGGAAGGTGGGGTAGAGATCGGCCTAGGAAAGGTTGGAGGGAGGGGGTAAAGGAAGTTTTGTGTACGAGAGGCTTAGTCTTCCAGCAAGCATGCGTGAGCATGTTAGATAGGACCAAATGGAGTCAAATGTTTTTTATGACTTGACGTGTTATTGGAGTGTGAGCAAAGTAACATTTATGAAGGGGTTCAGGGAAACCGGCAGGCCGGACTTGAGTCCTGGAGATGGGAAGTACAGTGTCTGCACTCTGAAGGAGGGGTGTTAATGTTACAGTTTTATAACTGTAGTGTAAAGCACCCTTCTGGCAAGACAGTGATGGAGTGAATGATGATGAATTTTTTTCTTTTTCGGGCCACCCTGCCTTGGTGGGAGACTGCCGATGTGTTAATAAAAAAAATAAGGTGAGCACACACACAGACACACTCACCTTTAATATTAAGCACCATGTGTATCTTATAGTTCTCCTCCAAGGTGTGAGTTGTAACTCGACTCGTATTCATGACCATGGCATCCCGGTACTCCCAGTAAGTAATAGCTCGAGGGTGAGCCTCCACGAAACACTCAAGGTAAACCTCTGAACCTCGTAGAGCACCTAACAGCTGGTTAGGTACATGCATCTGAGGAGCAACTTTACGGAGAGAAATATTAAAATTAAATAGGTTGTAATAAGGTATATTTTTGCATCTGTGTACATCTGGAGGTATATTTTGTGAGCGAAGAATACTGATATATAGTTGTACTCTTGGAATATACGTGATTGGCTTAAGAAACTGATAAAAAATGGATTGACTTCTACCACCACTAGTACTGCTATTACTGCTGCTGCTGCTACTGCTGCTGCTGCTGCTACTGCTGCTGCTGCTGCTGTTGCTACTGCTGCTGCTGCTGCTGCTGCTGCTACTGCTGCTGCTGCTGCTACTGCTGCTGCTGCTGCTGTTGCTACTGCTGCTGCTGCTGCTGCTGCTGCTACTGCTGCTGCTGCTGCTGCTGCTGCTGCTGTTGCTACTGCTGCTGCTGCTGCTGCTGCTGCTGCTGCTACTGCTGCTGCTGCTGCTGCTGCTTTTCTCGAATTACTACTACTACTACTTCTACTGCTACTACTGCTACTACTACTACTACTACTACTACTACTACTACTACTAATAATAATAATAATAATAATAATAATAAAAGTTACTTGATAAATTAGACACATGTGCAACTCTTGGGTATCTTTATTGAGGAAACGTTTCGCCACACAGTGGCTTCATCAGTCCATACATAGGAGAAACTACCTATGACTGCTACACCTCTCCTGCCATACGGTTTATAAGCTGCTTCTCCGCTCATCTGCCGTATTCTACTCAAGATTGATGGACTGAACACATCGACTCAAGGTTGAGGGACTGATTACCTCATTCTCCTCCTGTTCTTCAAGTTTCTCCTATGTATGGACTGATGAAGCCACTGTGTGGCGAAACGTTTCCTCAATAAAGATACCCAAGAGTTGCACATGTGTCTAATTTATCAACATTTCGGTTCTCTGAACCATTCATCTAAAAGTTACTTGTTTATCCGTACTAGGAAGTACAGATAAAGTACAGATTGATTAATTTACTGCTACTACAGCGAGTGCTACTACTTCTACTAGTCTACTTCTACTAGTCTACTTCTACTAGTCTACTTCTACTAGTCTACTTCTACTAGTCTACTTCTACTAGTCTACTTCTACTAGTCTACTTATACTAGTCTACTTCTACTAGTCTACTTCTACTAGTCTACTTCTACTAGTCTACTTCTACTAGTCTACTTCTACTAGTCTACTTCTACTAGTCTACTTCTACTAGTCTACTTCTACTAGTCTACTTCTACTAGTCTACTTCTACTAGTCTACTTCTACTAGTCTACTTCTACTAGTCTACTTCTACTAGTCTACTTCTACTAGTCTGCTTCTACTAGTCTACTTCTACTAGTCTACTTCTACTAGTCTACTTCTACTATCGTCTACTTCTACTAGTCTACTTCTACTAGTCTACTCTTCTATCTATCTACTATCTACTAGTCTACTTCTACTAGTCTACTTTCTACTAGTCTCTTCCTACTAGTCTACTTCTACTAGTCTACTTCTACTAGTCTACTTCTACTAGTCTGCTTCTACTAGTCTACTTCTACTAGTCTACTTCTACTAGTCTGCTTCTACTAGTCTACTTCTACTAGTCTACTTCTACTAGTCTACTTCTACTAGTCTACTTCTACTAGTCTACTTCTACTAGTCTACTTCTACTAGTCTACTTCTACTAGTCTACTTCTACTAGTCTGCTTCTACTAGTCTACTTCTACTAGTCTAACTTCTACTAGTCTGCTTCTACTAGTCTACTTCTACTAGTCTACTTCTACTAGTCTACTTCTACTAGTCTACTTCTACTAGTCTACTTCTACTAGTCTACTTCTACTAATCTACTACTGCTACATCAATAAGATAAGTAACAACAACTATCCTTATAATGAAGAACATAAAGGCACAATACTGTGACTGGAACAATACACAAATAACCCGCACATAGGAGAGACACAGAGGTCCGACTTGGACCATTTACGCGGTCACACTGTGTGACTTTGTAAATACTCCGAGTTGGATGGAAACGTTGTCGTAAGGTTTTCTCTACTAAATTATGCTTATTTGTGTATAGCCGTGTTCTGTTACTACTACTACTACTCCTACTACTATTTCTACTACTACTACTACCACTACTACTACTACTCCTACTACCATTTCTACTACTATTACTACTCCTACTACTACAACTACTACTGCCGCCACTACTCACACTCGACATCAAGGGTGATCCTCTTGCTGACTGAAGGAGGAACACCATTGGAGGCTATGCAGAGGTAAGCTCCCATGTGCGTCCTGCTGACCTGTCGTAGACGCAGCTGAGATCCGTCCAGGTGCGACACTGTAACATCAGGCCGAGGTAATTAAGTCGAACACGAGTTCAAGGAGTAAGCAATGAAACAGATCCTTCTTGGAAGGGAAGGGGGAAAGAAGGAGGGTGGAAGAGGGAAGGAAGAAGGGAGGAAGAGGGAAGGAATAAGGGAGGAAGAGGGAAGGAAGGAAGGAGGGTGGAAGAGGGAAGGAAGGAGGTGGAAGAGGGAAGGAAGGAGGGTGGAAGAGGGAAAGAAGGAGGGAGGAAGAGGGAAGGAAGGAGGGAGGAAGAGGGAAGGAAGGAGGATGGAAGAGGGAAGGAAGGAGGGAAGGACTGTTACTTAAGGCTGTGCACAATAGATTCCATTAAACAGCTCTCAAGTTTGTACAGCCCATAATTTGACTTACAAAAAGGCATTCCTATCATGTATTGAGAGCAAGGAATCACTTATGTTTTTTTCCATGACGGAACTGTTGGGCACAATGATCCAGGCAGCAGCCCACCTGGGTGGGTGATTGCAAGAACTGACACGGTTGAAGATAGCATTTGATTCCTGGCCCGTCCTGTCAGTCGGTATAATACATTACCAATAGAAGTAAGCCCATTTAAGTACAGCTACAGGTACACAAGGTTAAGTGACTGCAATCACTGACTGCAACATAGTGATTGCAACCCAACAAGGTTAGGCAGTTAGGAGGGTATAAGAGACAATCGGAAAATTCATGAAGAATCTGGTTATTAGGTCATAAAGAATAATCGGAATACAAAGCAAGTTTCATGAATAACCAAGGAATAGTAATAATAATTGATACCGAGGATATATAAAGGCATAATGTAGGAATGTATGAAGAGATTCTTCCGAGAACTACTTAGAACATTTTATTAATTAAAAGGTTTACATATAATTTCAGTGTTTTGCATGTGTACTCTCCAGTAGCACAACAGTCTCTTCCGTCACATGACTTGTTGACGGCTATTACATGTAGCTTAGGGCTGGATATTGCATTTCCTATTATTCTATTTCTCGTTTTCTGTAAACCTTGGAGGTCCTCGCCACCTACTGTACCCTACACGGAGATGCGTGGGTGGTGAAAGGGGTTTGAGTCCTTACCATTTCTGATAGGAACTGGTTGGTGTCAACAGGCTAACTTACTCTGACGCTAGGAGACTTGTGAAAGATCTTGAGCTGAAGATTTCCATCCCGAGTGGCTTCTCTCACATTGCGATTGCATACATATATACATATTTTTTTTTCAACATTTCCCCATAATTTATTCCCACCCTTCTCCCCAACACCCTAGTATTTACTTCTTTTTTTCAACCCCATCTATAAATATATTAAACAACCATGGTGACATTACACATCCCTGTCTAAAACCTACTTTTACAGGGAAGTAGTCTCCCTCTCTTCTACACACCCTAACCTGAGCCTCACTGTCCTCATAAAAACTCTTTACAGCATATATATATATATATATATATATATATATATATATATATATATAATATATAATATATATATATATATATATATATATATATATATATATATATATATATATATATATATATATGCATAATAACCAGAGAGGGAGTAGAATGATAGCTCCAGGCTTTTCATGTTGCAATCAACATATCGTCAGGATCTTGAAAAATTGCAGAAAAGAGGAGGATGTCCAAGCAAGTACGATCCCAAGGGACGTCTTCCTTGGAGTGAGTGAGGGAGAGAGAGAGAGAGAGAGAGAGAGAGAGAGAGAGAGAGAGAGAGAGAGAGAGAGAGAGAGAGAGAGAGAGAGAGAGAGAGAGAGAGAGAGAGAGAGAGAGAGAGAGAGAGAGAGAGAGAGAGAGAGAGAGAGAGAGAGATAGGAACAGGAAGTGTCCCTAGGTATACCAGTGCCCACAGCCAGAAAGGTTGAATATTATAGCATTAGAAAAATCGCACAAGCACTGATATTGTAACAGTAGCCTAAATGAAAGTAACGTGTAATAAAGTTGGTAAAATTACCGACAATATGTAAAGTAAAAGGACACAAGTGCAACTAATGTGACATATTTATTGTGGCAACGTTTCGCTCTCCAGGAGCTATGTCAAGCTCTTGGAGAGAGAAACGTCGCCACAATAAAAATGTCACATTAGTTGCACTTGTGAAAGTAAAGTGGCAATAATAAAAACTTCGGTCATACTCTGCTATGATATCAGTAATTTTACATACATAATTATATTGTCAGTGATATAAAAGTCACTGGCAATTATGGAGTAACCATCCACGAGAAAGTGTGTCCATTTAAAGGTACTAGAAAATGGGAACATTTAATGGGGAGACTTCTAAAAGTAATACAAAGGAAATGGGGTTCATTAAAATAAACTCATTTAAAGAGGGAGGCATCTGTAATTACAAGGAAGACGTCCACAGTTATTCATCCCACATAATTCTGAGGCAAACTCTGGTTCAACCTTCAGAAACTGCAGGAGAAATATGCCCTAATTCCTCGGTGTGGCACTACATTTAAGACAATTTAATGCATTTGTATATGATCCCAATTTTTGACCGTGTACTATTGCGTCATCTAAAAATGCATCTAATTTGAACAACCCATCACTAATATTGTATAATGAATGCTTATAATACTTAATAATTGCCGATTCTACAATATTCCTTTCAAACCAGGAGGAACAAAAGACGATGACTCTTGCTTTCTGCCAATTTGCCGGGTTATTACAAGCTCTAATATGGTTGAAAATCTCGTTTGACTCCTGTGCTATACATATCGAATAACGGTGTTGTAGAATTCTTACATCTAATGGTTTTTCTGTCTGTCCCAAATAGGAGAGGCTGCAACCGTTGCAACCAACTTTGTAGACACAACCAGCACGCTGTTGGGGAGTATTCTGTATCAGAATGCTTCTAACAGTCCGTGAATTTTTAAATACTACTTGTATATTAAATCTCCTAAGATCATTCGGCAGGATAGATAAATTCTCGTTGTATGGAAGGACCAGCACATTCTTGGTCTGAGGTGTTATGCTAGGTTCTGTTCTATAATAAGTTTTCTTAGCTGCCAGTAAGGCAGATTTCACAAACACCTTCGGATACCGCAGTTTAATGTCAATGTCAAATATTTTCCTAATTTCTTCATCTAGGAACTCCGGACTGCACACTCTATAAGCTCTCAGAAACTAAGTAAGAAATACACTCCTTTTGGCTCTAGTCTCATGGTGGGAATAGTAGTGAATGTATGAGCACACACTGGTGGCCTTCCTATATACTGTAAACTTTCTATCAACACTGTGTATCAACACATCAAAGAATGGAAGTTTACAGTCCACTTCTTTCTCCAAGGTGAATTTAATAGACGGGATTAAAGTCTTGGCAAAAATGTATTAGGGGCCATATCATTCATCGACATATCTGAACCATTTCGCTCTACGTGGTAGGATATCTTTCAACAGTCTAGCCTCGAAAAATTCCATATACAAATTTCTCAATAAGGGGGACAAGGGATTAGCCATAGCCATTCCGTTTCTGAGAATAGTATTTCCCCTCAAATCTAAACTTGCAATCAACTACACACAGCTTAATCAATTCAGTGTTGGTAATTTTATGAAAAGGCAAAGATGACTCATCTAATTCTTCTTCCAAATAAGATAGTAAGTCAGGAACAGGAACTGTCGTGAACAACGCAGTGACATCAAAATTAACAAGTGTAAAATCATTAGAAATGTTCAGATTTTGCAATTTGTCGATGAGATCAACATTGTTTTTTTAAGTGGGCTTCAGAAATGTTGCGAAGCTGAGGAGTTAATATTTTTACCAACCATTTTGACAAGGTATATGATGCCGATCCTACAGAACTAATTATAGGTCTGGCTGGAAAACCTGGCTTGTGGGTTTTAATCAAACAGTACTTAGAACCTTACCTCTCGGTAAGGTTCTAAGTTGTTTATAAAAACATAAGAACATAAGAAAGAAGGAACACTGCAACAGACCTACTGACCCATGCGGAGCAGGTCCATGTCCCCCCCCCCGGATTAGCCCAATGACACCCCCCCCGGATTAGCCCAATGACCCCCCCCCCTCGGATTAGCCCAATGACCCACCCAGTCTGGTCACCTCCACTCAAGGAAGGAGCACGGCGCCAGACCCAGCAGCACAAGCTAGTCAGGTCCATCTCACACCCACCCACACCCACTCATGTATTTATCTAATCTATTTTTAAAACTACACAACGTTTTAGCCTGTACTCTGCACTGTTGTCTTGGTTTTAGATTACTGCTAACCAGAGCTCCTAAATCCTTTTCGCAATCAGTAGTATTAAGATCAACATTATTTAGTTTATATGTGGCATGGTTATTTACCTGTCCAACATTTAGAACTTTGCATTTGTCAATATTAAACTGCATCTGCCACTTCTCCGACCATTGCATCAGTCTATTCAAATCATCCTGGAGTGCTCTAGTGTCCTCGTTAAAATGAATTGAACGGCTTATTTTGGTGTCATCAGCAAATTTGCTTATGTCGCTATTTATTCCCTCATCTATGTCATTTACGTAAATTGTGAACAACAACGGGCCCAACACTGACCCCTGAGGAACACCGCTTGTGACGTGCCCCCATTCTGATTTCTCCCCATTTATGCAAACTCTCTGCTGCCTATTTGTCAGCCATGCCTCTACCCAGAAAAAAATTTCTCCTATTCCGTTTGCCTTAAGTTTCCTCAATAGCCTCTTGTGTGGAACTCTATCGAAAGCCTTACTGAAGTCCATATACACAATATCATATTCGTTACCATGATCTACCTCCTCAAACACCTTAGTGAAAAAAGTTAGTAAATTTGTAAGACAGGAACGCCCCTTTGTAAAACAATGTTGAGATTCATTAATCGGTCTGTGCCTATCAAGATGGCTACGAATTGCTTCGGCAATTATTGATTCCATAAATTTTCTCACTATGGAGGTAAGGCTTATTGGTCTATAGTTCGAAGCCAAGGACCTGTCACCTGCCTTGTAAATAGGTATTACATTTGC